TTATTCTTCTTATTCTACAGATGAGGAAACTGAGCTCCAGAGAGGTTAAGTGATTTCTCTGATGACAAGCAGCTTGTCCATAATAAAGCCAAGAGCTGAATCCAGGCAGCGAAGTGTGACTGCACTTGTAACACGACTCCATACTGTCACTGAGCCAAAGAGAATTAAATCTCTAATGAAGGCTCCAAGTCTGCACTGCCAGTCCGAATTTACACATTGTGCCTGAACAGTATGGGGCGTGCAATTTGGGGATGAAATTTTTTCCTCATAGACATGACCCTTCACACACAGTGAAAATCAGAACTGAATAACCTCAAACCTTAGGTAGATGAGCTGCCCTGAGAGAGGGAGAGAGACAGAGACACAAGACAGTTCTTTTCCTTTAATACATTTCCGTGTGCTACAGTGACGAGTGAATCCATGGTTTGCCACTTAAAAATATACACTGAGCACCTACAGATTGGTGTTAAAATACATTGGCCCCAGATTCATTTTCCTTCTCAAAAATTTTCTATTAAAGAGTTTGACCACACGGTGAGCTCAGACAGCAAGGGGTGTGCCTGGAGCTCCCAGTGCACAGAAGGCTAGAAAATAATTAGAAATCAGAATGTACTCTAATTCAAAATCAAAAGGCATCTCCCATCTATGCCCTTGTGAAAATCGTGTGAGCTGACCAATTAATGAGCCAGTTGCCCCAGGGTGAGGTCTGCCCTTGTGTAATTACCAAGAAATGAGAGCGACTTCGGTGGGTCCTCTGGATGAGCAAAAGCTAGTGATTTCTGGCCATAAGTGGAGTCATTAAGGATGTAAGAGCCTGAATGCACTGGGGCCACGGCAGGAACAGCCCAGGCTTTTGGGTCTGGAAGTCTCCAGCTCCAGGACAAGTAGGCAGAGAGGAGATACAGAGCGATCTCCCCTCCAGGCAGGGAAAGGAGATGACGATCTCTTTCTTATTGAACGCTCACCATGTGCCAGCCCCAGGCCCAGGCATTTTATATATATTGTCTTGCTTAATGTCAGAATAGTCCATGGGCTTTTCTACTTGGACAGGGTGATGCGTCCATGGTCCAGCCTTGCCGTACGGAATGACACAGGCATGACCACCATTACTGCGGCTCTCAGCCGGCCACGTGCAAGTGACACAGACAAGATCATCCAAAAGCAAAAAGGAAACTCACTACCTCAACATTTGGCCTGTTAACCTTATAGTCTTTTTTCTCTATAAATACTTTGTGTTCGTTTACCAACATGGGCTTACGCTACATGTGTTGTTTCATGCCCACTTTTTAACTCAGACACTATTACACTGTCATTCCATATTTCTGTCCAATCTCACTCCAGCAGTTAGAAAGCACGTGGCTGGAGGGACTCTCATCAATCCTTTTTTTTTTTTTAAGATTTTATTTATTTATTTGAGAGAGAGAGAAAGAGAGAGAGCACGAGAGGGAAGAGGGTCAGAGGGAGAAGCAGACTCCCTGCTGAGCAGGGAGCCCGATGTGGGACTCGATTTGGGACTCGATCCCGGGCCTCCAGGATCATGACCTGAGCCGAAGGCAGTCGCTTAACCAACTGAGCCACCCAGGCGCCCCTCATCAATCCTTTTTATCAACCCCGACTTGTAGGATATCGAGGTTACCTTCAAGGCCCCGCATTTTTAAACAGCATTCTGCTGAATATTCTTGTAGACCGAGTACTGCAAAAATGATCCAATTTTTTTTAAAGGTAAATTTCTAGCATGGAAATTGCCGGGTAAAAGGATATAGACATTTTTAAAATCCAGTTTATTGAGGCATAATTCACCTACAGCAGAACTGGGCCTTTTTGCGTGTACCCTTCCTTGAATTTTGGTGAATGGCATCGGTCACGTAACCACCACCACCATGAAGTTCTAGAACACTTATTAGTAACTTAAAGCTTTTGATGCATGTTATCAAATTGTCCGCTAGTAAAATTATACCTATTCCCACCTTCTGTCAGCCCATGAAAAGTGAGCATTGGATATTATTCTTTTTAAAAAAAAATTAAGATTTTCCAATTTGGTAGGTGAATGTTTCCATCTCGTTTCGTTACATTTATTTGTTTACTAATGAGGTAATGTATTTTTTCATGTTTATTCTCTATTTTTATGTCTTATAGTGTGAATTCACGTTTATATCCTTGGCTTATATGTCTAGCCAACTATTTATCCACTCTTTCTTACTGATTTGTAAGAGCTATTGGGGGCCAGTAATGGAAGAAGTGATTTGTCGTGTTGCAAATGTTTTCTCTTGCTGTTTATCCCGTCTATTGTTGTTTATAGCTATTTTTTCCCCTCAGTAATGTTTCCATAATCTCTCCACCTTTGCCTTATAAATTGGAAAGTGATCTTCATAAAGGCCTTTCCCACTCTATGATTATTTAAATGTTTGCCAATTTCCTAGGAAAGAAATTGACGTAACAGTAGAGTAAGAAAAAAGATGAAAGGTAGCATATTTAATCTTTAAAGCATCAGGAATTTATTTTCACATATTACACAGCGTAAGCTTTATTTCTCCCCCAAACGATGAGCCGATTGTACCAACCCCATTTATCCAATAATAGATCTTCTCCTAATTGGAGAAGTCACTGTTGGTATACATTATATGTGGCATGTACTCAGATCCGTGTGAACTTTCCATTCTCAGCTACAAAATGTGTTATCTTTTTTTGGGGGGGGGAAGAGTAGGTGCTGTTTCCCACAGTTTCAAATACTGTAGTTTTATAATATGTTTTAGTATCTCACATGCCAAGCACTGTTTCTCATTACTGTCCTTGTTCAAAATGTTCTCTCGGGCTCTCATGATTCCAAACTTAAAACCATATCTGGGTTTAAATATCCAATAGGAATTTTTGTTGAAATTTCATCATAGATGAACTTGAGAAGAACTTGCATCTTTATAATAAGCAGTCTTCTCTCCAAGGATCATGCTACATCACTCCACATGTTCAAGTTTTCACTTACATTTCTCAGTAAAATTTTACATGTTTAAAAAACGGGCTCTGCAGGGTTTGTGTATGTATTTATCCCAGGAATCATGGGGGGTTTTGTTGCCATTATTCACAGCATCTGTCTTTTCACTATACTTTCTAACTTGTGGCTCTGATTTATAGCATCCTATGTATTAATTTTATAAAAAGCTAGTTTAATGAAAACTAGTTACTATCGTATTTTTGTTTTTTCCCCTCAGTGTTCCCAGGAGACAGTGAGGTTATTTGTAAATACTAACAATTTGGGCACCTGGGTGGCTCAGTTGGTTAAGTGTCTGCCTTCGGCTCAGGTCATGATCCCAGCTTCCTGGGATCAAGTCCCACATGGGGCTCCCTGCTCAGCAGGGAGCCTGCTTCTCCCTCACCTTCTGCTTGCTGCTTTGCCTACTTGTGCTCTCCGCTCCGCCCCCCCCCCCGTCAAATAAATAAATAAAATCTTTAAAATAAATAAATACTAACAATTTTACCTTTTACATTACATTTTAGTTACATATTAACATGTTAATTTTAAGGAATCAGAAGCGGAGGCACCTGGCTGGCTCAAGTCGGTAGAGCATGCAATTCTTGATCTTAGGGTTGTGAGTTCAAGCCCCATGCTGGGTATAAAGGTTACTTAAAAATAAAATCTTAAAAAAAAAATCAGAAGTGAGTTTTAATACAGTACCTTATGATGAGCTATCCTTGCAATTTTGGAATAAACTGTCTTTGGTGATAGTGTATTATTCTCTTAGCATTTTACTCCGTATTTTATTTGAAATATTTATATCTGTAATCGTTTTTTTTTTAAAATTTTTTTTTTTTATTTGAGAGAGCGAGAATGAGAGATAGAGAGCACGAGAGGGAAGAGGGTCAGAGGGAGAAGCAGACTCCCTGCTGAGCAGGGAGCCCGATGTGGGACTTGATCCCGGGACTCCAGGATCATGACCTGAGCCGAAGGCAGTCGCTCAACCAACTGAGCCACCCAGGCGCCCTGTAATCGTTTGGTTTTTTTTTTAAAGATTTTATTTATTTATTTGACAGAGAGAGAAAGGGAGCATAAGCAGGGGGAGCAGTAGAAGGAGAGGGAGAAGCAGACTCCCGCCGAGCAGGGAGCCCGATGCGGGGCTCGATCCCAGGACCCTGGGATCATGACCTGAGCCGAAGGCAGACCCTTAACCATCTGAGCCTCCCAGGCGCCCCTATATCTGTAATCATTAACTTCAGTTTTCTTTAACACGTAATCTTTGCCAAGTTACGATATTAGGGTTGGGTTGTTCTCATGCTGTAAAACTGAGAACCTTGCAATTTCTTCTATAATTTGGGACCATTTAATTGGCATAAGCATGCCTTGCTTCCTAAGTGGACTTACTCACTTGTATCATCTGCTCAAAGGCTTTTGGAAAAGCCACCAGCGAAAGCATTTGCTTAAAGCGCTCTTTCTCGCTCAGTATTCAGAATTTGTATTAAAATTCCCAAGTTTATTCAACAGTTTTGCATGTCAGCGAAACGCTAATACATCTGTTTTCTTAGAATAGGACAAATTGTAAAATAAAGATGAAAACAAATTCTCCAACACCACATTTCCATCGTTTCTCTGGATTCCATTAGCCCTTGGCAAACATTTACGCTTACATAAAGTTTATTGCTTCCAGTATGGTGTTCAAAAAACTGACTCATCCCTTTTCAGAGACTACAGAAATTTCCACCCTCAATGTCCTAGGAAAGAAATGGATGTAAAAGGTAGAGTAAGAAAAAAGATGAAACATAGAGTATCAATTAGTTTCCCTTGAGCACAGCCTGCACACAGGCGAGGACAGTAATGTGCTTCAGAGAAGTATAAACAGTCTTACATTCTTATCAAGGCTTCCATCCGAGGCCGGGGACCTGCCCTCTTTGGGACGGCTTCCACCCATGAGGAAAGGATAATGCCATGTAAATTTCAGGACAGCCCCATGGTCTTCAGCCCACTTAGTTAATGCAACAACGGTAACAGCGCTTTGTTTTCCTTTATGCAGGACGTCTGCGTCAAGGCTTACCTAGCCCTTCGTCACCACACAAACCTGCTGATCATCCTGTTCTCCATGATGCTGATGACGGGAATGCCCCAGTTAACAAGCAAAGAAGATATCGAATATATTCGGGATGCCCTAACAGTGGGGAAGAATGAGGAGGAAGCTAAGAAGTATTTCCTTGATCAGATTGAAGTTTGCAGGGACAAAGGATGGACGGTGCAGTTTAACTGGTTCCTGCACCTTGTTCTGGGCATCAAACAAGGAGAGAAACATTCAGCCTAATTCTCCGGGCTAGAATGCAAAACCCGTTCGTGTCCTAAAGCTTTAAGTCAGCATGTCCGTCATCGGACTCGGATCTAAAATGTAACAGGACATCATGAAGGCTGGCACCTGAGAAAGACAGCCCTGTTCCTGGCTGAACTCTTCACAGGAAGAAAACATTGGCATGTCAGATTGTCTCAGGCACGTTCGGTTTTAGGCTTACGCGCAGGTTTCTTTTTTTCTCATTCGCCTCGGTGATGTTGGAGAACATTCTTAGTTTAAACACATTACTTCCTCATTGTGCCTGCTGATTTGACTACCTTATTATTGAGTGCTTCTTGAGAGTAATTGGTGACATCTCTTTTCATGTGGGTTTACTCTCAATTTTGGTTATTCTTGTGTTCCTCACGCCCTTGAGAGAAAAAGATGTCATCACCATAACCTTTCTGTCATTCCCCAAAGGACACTTCCAAACATCCCCTTCCATGTCTGGAGAGGTTAGCGATTTGCTAAACGCAAAAGGAAGGAGACTTAGCCTTTCCATTGTCTTTTGTAATTAGGGTCTTTTACAGTATACAACTGAGATGCACAAACACACTGGAAAACCCGAACCTTTGTATCCTGACCCTTCCCTGCTGGTCTGGCTGCAGGGTTACAAAGAGGAATAGCAGAGATGAAACCATTCGTCTCAACTCTGCCCAAGAGTAAATGTCAAGTACAGTTACCCCAGCCTTCGCTACTATGGAAACAGGAGGAAACTAAAGGGACTTTTTTGTTTGTTTGTTTGTTTGTTTTACATTTTTATCTTCCTCCCTGCCTCCCCCCTTCTTCCTTAATGGCTAACCCTCCCACAACTTTTTATCCAAGTTGTGAAATCCTCAAGAACACATCGACCCTAGAATTCAAACAGCAGTTGAAAAACAATTTCTCCTCTAGGGTTACTGGAATTTTAGGTACTTATTTGTAAAAATGTTTGGTGGAGTTTTTTTTTTTTAAGTGTATTATTAAAGAGGACATTCTAGGAAATATGGATTTGTTTCCAAATGCCTTAATTTTAAATTTTAGCCTAAGCAGTTTTTTCTTTCTTTTTCAATGGAAGAAGGTCTTTGAGATCTAAATAGTACTTCAAGTTAGGAAGAACACTACGTGCCCTAGCCATCTCTCAGTTTTAAAGGACTTTGAAACTCTGACATATTCTTCAGATTTCCTAGAAATTGAAATGTCTTCTTCAAAAACTATTTTCATCTCCTAAATATTCTGCTATTTATTGGAAGCATTGTTTAACCGTAGAGAAAGATTGTTACATTATTTATAAAGTATTTTAAAATTACGTATAGTTACTACTTTACCTAGAAATAACTCTGTTAACAGTGTCTACGTTTAAACATAATCAGATATAAATAGATATTTAACTTAAAATTTTTCTAAATAGATACCTGTTTAATTTCGGTGTAGCCCAAACCCTTCATTTTGTATATGCAAAAACCCTTTGATGGTATAGATAACACTGCTTCCTTGCCCACTGAGCCTTTCCCCTGGCTCATAAGGGGTCTAGAAAGAACTCTTCCTTGACAACTTGTCCTTTTAAAATCACACTCTGTCCCCCTGTAGAGAGGACCATGCCCTGTACTGAAATGTTTAATCCTCTGTCCTAATGGAAGGTAGATATTTTATGGCATTTTTACAACAACTATTCCCCACCATTCTTTTGAAGAAGAATAGGAAGAATGATGCTTTTTAATTCAGAAGAGGATGTATTCATTATTCTTATAAAGAGCAGTGGAGCGTGGCCTTGCACAGATTTGAATTGCTGAAATCATCTTTGATAGAAGAATTACAGAGCAATGTATTTATATTTAGCTTATTGGCACATGGGCATACCTATTTTCTCTTCAAACAAACAGGTTCTTAGGCTGGTACACATCACATTGTGCTTCATTCCCCCATATTTCACTGAAGGTAGAACATTAACTCTTCAGATTTGCCTACAAAAATCACCTTTGTGTGTTTCCTTCCTTTATTTCTCCCAGGGAATCACGTGACCCACAACTTTTAGATCTTTGAAAACGTTCTAGAACCAGGGTCATCTCACCCTGGGAGGAGATTTCGGGGAACTATCCACAACTCAGTCTTCACTGTCAGATGAAAACAGAGATTACAAGTCAGATGATTCAGGTCAAAGCAGATTTTGTGTGTGTCCAGTACCAGCTACATAATTTGCAGAGTCCAATGCAAAATGGAAATGTGGGGGCCTGCCATTCAAAAATTAAGAAACTCAAGATGGCAACAGCAGAGCATGAAACCAAGCACAGGACTCCACAGGTCACAAACCCATGAAGCTGGAACTGAATGTATCTGAATAATGGCTTCAGTGCTCAATTTTACATTTGGACTATGCATGAGTTCAGATAAAGCACCCAGATCAAAATGTTATTTCTGTTCTAATTAAAATACCTCATCTCTGTGGCTGTACATTAGGACTTAAAACACTGGCCCATTGTTTTTGGACTGGAACCATGGCCGCTCAAAGTAGAGCAAAGCACGTGTTCGAGGCCTAGCCTCAAATGACTGTTTTTGACTAGCTTTGGTGAAAGTGTGAGGGAGTGGAGACATTATAGATAAAATATAGAAATCCCTAGAAAAAACGTTTAACTTTTAAGAAAGTAACTTAAGTTAATATATTTTATAGGAGATGAATTTTTTTTTTAAAGAAAGATTAGATATAGGAATTCTGCAGGATAACTTGGAGGCTGCGAGTCCTCTGTAAATGGAAATTATTTTTGGAAATGAGCCAAAAAATAATTTAGAAAGTAAGTTTCTGGAGCAAATTTGGCATTTGGTAAACTAGGCTCTATTTGCCATGGTTATGAAATAAATTGTCAATTGTGTTTTATGATACAAAGAAAAAAATGGAGGGATTTTTAAGTGTTCTGCTGTCTTATTTCTGTTTAACCCAACCTAATAATTCTAGTCAATAAATGTGGTTCTAGTCTGTGTACTTGTCTGCATATTTGCAAAGACTCATTCTTAAGACAGGTGCTAGGCGAACCTAAAGCACACTCCTTGGAAAACATACTCATTCAGTGGCTAAAATTAACAAGTCAGGAAACGACAGATGTTGGCGGGGATGCGGAGAAAGGGGAACCCCCCTTACACTGTTGGTGGGAATGCAAGCTGGTGCAACCACTCTGGAAAACAGTATGGAGGTTCTTCAAAAAGTTAAAAAATAGAGCCATCCTATGACCCAGCAATTGCACTACTAGGTATTTATCCAAAGGATACAAACAGAGTGATTTGAAGGGGCACATGCACCCTAATGTTTATAGCATCAATGTCCACAATAGCCAAACTGTGAAAAGAGCCAAGATGTCCATCGACAGATGAATGGATAAAGATGTGGTACACACACACACACACACACACACACACACACACACACACACACACAATGGAATATTATGCAGCCATCAAAAGGAATGAGATCTGGCCATTTGCAACGACATGGATGGAACTGGAGGGTGTTATGCTGAGTGAAATAAGTCAATCAGGGAAAGACATGTATCATATGACCTCACTGATATGAGGAATTCTTAATCTCAGGAAACAAACTGAGGGTTGCTGGAGTGGTGGGGGGTGGGAGGGATGGGGTGGCTGGGTGATAGACATTGGGGAGGGTATGTGCTATGGTGAGAGCTATGAATTGTGCAAGACTGTTGAATCATAGATCTGTACTTCTGAAACAAATAATGCAACATATGTTAAGAGAAAAGAAAAAGAAGAAGATAGCAGGAGGGGAAGAATGAAGGGGGGGAAATCAGAGGGGGAGACAAACCATGAGAGACAATGGACTCTGAAAAACAAACTGAGGGTTCTAGAGGGGAGGGGGGTGGGGGGATGGGTTAGTCTGGTGATGGGTATTAAAGAGGGCACATTCTGCATGGAGCACTGGGTGTTATATGCAAATAATGAATCATGGAACACTACATCAAAAACTAATGATGTAATGTATGGTGATTAACATAATAAAAAAAAGAAACAAAAAAAACATACTCATTCAGAAAGTTGAGACATTCCTTCTTCTGGATAGTCCAGATCTCCCCACTTGTATTTGCATCTTAATTGTTAAATGTAAACTCAAAGAATTGACGTCTTGTGTTCTCCGTACACATCTTTTAAATTTCTGAAAGGACAGAGAATCCTGAAAGTCAAATTCTTTAAGAAACCTATGGAGTTCCCACAACCTGCTAGACTCTGTACTGAGGACCGGGATTAGAATATAGAACAAAACTGACCCAGTCTCAGTCCTTACAGAGTCTATAGCTTGCTGGCAATAGCAGACACTTCATAATGGGTGTCTCTCATGGGTTGAAATGTGTCCCCCAAAAAGATATGAAGTCCTAATCCTGGTATCTGTGAATGCAAATTTTTTTGGAAATAGGTTCTACGGATGTAATAAAGTTAAGATGATGTCATGACGGTGGGCCCTGACCCAATAGGACTGGTATAGTTGAGAGAGAATGTCATAGAGGTAGAGATTATAGTGTCTAACGTCAGGAACACGTGGGGCTACCAGCAGCTGGAAGAGGCAAGGAGGGGAAGAAAGGGCCCTCCCCCTAGAAGCTTCTGAGGGAGCATGGCCCTGCCAACACCTTGACTTCAGATTTCTAGCCTCTAGAACTGCGAGAGAATAAACTTCTGTTTGGAGGCATCCAGTTGGTGATATTTTGTTATGACATCCCTAGGAAACTAATAGAGTGTCAACAGTCATCAGTTTTGTGGGGGTTTCTTTTTTTGGGGGGGACAGAGTTTATGTAAGTAAACCTGTTGGATATTTTCTGCTGTTACCAGAAAGATTTAATTGCATGCAAAATATGTGACAAAGTGCTAGTATACTTAATATATAAAAAGCTCTAATAATTCAATAAGTAAAAAATAAATACCTTAAGCATTTGACAGTGGACCCAAAATCACTGCTGATTAAACAAATGCAAATTAAGATAACTTAAGTTTCTTTTCACCATCAGATTAGCAAAGATCTGCAAAGCCCAGAGTTGGTGATAATTTGGGAGAAAGAACGCTCTGTCACACTGTTGAAAGCAGAACAAGCTGATAAATTTATGCATGGCATTTTGTCAAATTTTATCAAAATTAAGAAGATATCTATTCTCCAACCCATCAAGTCCACATCCAAGAATTTATCCCGTAGAGATTATTGGACAAGTGTGCAAAGACTTCTAGGCAGAACCAGTTACCAGAGTTCTCTGTAGTGCAACCGCAAATTGGAAACAGCCTAAAAGTCCCTCAACAGGGGATTGGTTAATTAAGTCACATTCATACAATGGACTACAGTGAAGCCCCTGAAAAGACAAGAAAAATGAAAATGTATTGACATCCATGTAGATCTATGACCTACTGAGGAGTGAAAAAAGGTGGTTATAGGCCAGTATTACGGTACAGTCCTAGTCAAGTAAAAATGTAGGTTTGTAGCAACATTAAAAGGCTGGGAGAATATATTCACACCAAACTGTCAATCGTGATTTTTTTTGACCTCACATTTTTGTTTTTGTTTTTTTTCTCTTGAGCCTTGGGAAATATGACTTTATATTATTTGAGTTTTTTTAAAAAATGGAAAAAATGGTCTTTTAATTTTGAAAAAAACAATGCAATCTGCATGACAATCCTATCCTTTCGCTTATATCAAACCTCACTAAAAGCTCAGAAAATTTTCTCAAAGGGGAAAAAAAAAAATCATGTGAAGTCAATAATTATCATGTGACATCCGAGCTATTGTCAGAACCTTCTGGCATATAAACGACTACATTAAGGTTTCCTGCCTTACCCACCCCACCTGATTGTGATCTTTTGTACACTAAGGCGGGCCTGATCTGTCTCCCAAAATGACAATGGTTTTAGAGAAGGGAGGCCTGGGGGATGCTGTCCGTTTAGTCGGCAAGGGATGCCTTGCCAGGTCCAGCTCTTCTCAGCTCTACAAATCTTCCACAGCCCACGTGCCCACGCTGAACTCTCTAGCTCACACGTGACATCCCCCTTGGAGGTGCAAACCGCCTCATTTTCACTTCTCAGGAGTGTCAAGTTTTTTCCTATCCATGTGCTTATTAGTATAAATCAAATCTCCCTGTCTGCTGCTTCAGCAGGACTTTTTCCTTCTGGGAACCGGCCTCTGGGTCTGGGGTCATAATGCACTGGTCACCTGATTGGGAGGATATAATGGGGACAGGGGCACAGCAAGGAATACAGAGCCAATGTGGGCTCGATCCCAGGACCCTGGGACCACAACCTCAACACTACTAACTCCTACTTACCTTTCTCCCCCCCAACTTTATGGAAATTTATATAAAATAAAATTCAGCCATTTAAATGTACATTGTGATGAGTTTAACAAATGTATACACACCCATGCATCTACCACCACAGTCAAGATGCAGTCCAGTCCCATCTCCAGAAAGCTCCCTCAGGCCTCCGTGTAGTAAGTTCCTGCCTTGTCTCTACTGAAATGCTTTGGGTCATTATAGTTTTGGCTTTTCTAGAACTGCATAGAAACGGAACCATGCCATATGTGGTCTTTCATGCCAGGCTACTGTCACATAGCATAATGCTTTGCAGATTCATCTAGTTTGCCTAAATAAAATAATTTAGGAAGGCTCACTTGCTGGACCAATTTGCTCTAGTTAACTCCAGAGCCAAATGCCAACTTTCACGTTTGTCTGCCATCTGTGACAATGCAGGCCAGGGGTTCCTGTTCTACCTAAGATTACGGAGAGAGACCCCTTATTCCTCTTCCCTTGTTGGTTACACAAGACAGTAGGTGACAAGAAGCCTTCATTTCCTCTGGTTTTCCAAATTTGTGCAGTGATACATGGTCATATTCCTCACTACTGCTGAAGGGCAAGCAACGAGCAGTGCCGGCAGAGGAGCGTGGGAACACCTGCAGTCATCAGACAATCTAGAAAAGCGACCTTCTGGAGCAGCATTTCTCTGACTTTAATGTGCACGCAGATCACCAGGCATGCAGATGCTCATTCCATAGGTCTGGGACAAGGCTTGAGGTTCTGCATTTCCAACAAGCTCCCAGGCAAAACCAATGCTGCTGGTCCCCGAACCACACTTTGCATAGCAATGTTCTAGAAGACACAGGGGCAGATTCTGTGGGTTGCTAGGGAAAGTCAAATCTCTAAGGAGGCTGAAAACATGTACCAACCTACGCTTGAGAAATACGGCTCAGACACATGAATTTTCATCAATACATATACATACATCATCGATCATCTCTGTTTTTCTAGCGGCATCTCAATTTTCTCATCTGTAAAATGGGCGTTAAACTATCTCTGTCATAGATAGACCTCCAGTACGGTCCCCAGTGATCTCTGACTTCTGGTGTCACACCCTTGTGTGATTCCCTCCCATTGAGTACGAACTGGGCCTAGCAACTACGGCAAAGATAATGCAACATCCCTTTCAAGATGAGGTTGCAAAAGCCTGTAAGCTTCATCTTACTAGCATTCTCCAGCTTGCTCTTTCCCACCTGTTCAGCTCAATGAAGCCACCTGCCATGTCGTGAAAAGCTCTCTAGAGAGGTCTGTGTGGCAAGGAACCCAGGGAGGCCTCTGGCCCACAGGGAGAGATGAAGTGAATTCTGCCAGCAACCACATAATGAGCTGGGCAAGGGGTCTTTTCAAGTCAAGCCTGTGAGAGACCCAGAGCCAGAGGACCCAGCTAAACTGTGCCTGGATTCCTGATCCACGGACACCATGAGATAATAATGTTATGGTTTTAAGCCACCAAGTTTGAGTCATTTATCATGTGGCAATAGATAACTAACACATTTCAGAATTGTTCCAAAGATTAAAAAACACAAAGGAATTCATGTAAGAGAAAGAACTTAGCACAGTGCCAGGCACAGAGTGTCCCCTTGGCAATGTTAGTTGAATCTAAAAATAGCAGAGTCCTAAACATCGCCAGGATCTGTAAACAGCAGTG